ATTAGCAATATTAAATCAGACTGAATCACGCCTCTGCTCAAACTCTGCCAATGGCTCCCCAAACCACTGAAGGGAAAGGCAGTCTTCTCACGGCCTGACAAATATGGTCCCTGTAACCTGACCTTTGTAGCCCCTATGACCTGACCTCAGCAGCCCCCAGCATGCCCTTGGGCTCCCTCTGCTCTGATCCAACCTCCATTCATTCCTGAAACAGGACATTCCACAAAGTTCATCCTTGCCGCTCTTTACGCCTAGGGTGCTTTATACTCTTCCCCCAGATAAAGGCAGAGCGCCAATCACCACTAACATGTTACATATTTTACTTATTTGTTGGTTGTCAGTCTCCCTCCACTCAAGTATAAACTCACAAGGGGAAGGACTGAGTTTAGCTTTGTAGTGAAGTCTTATAATTTTCTGTTGCCTCACATCCATTTACAACACAAGTTTAAATGTCGTATATCAACATAGGGCTCAATGACCTTTGACAGGGTTTCCGGTTCCACATCACAGCCAGGTGGCACAAGCTGGTGGCTGGAGATCAGAACGTAGACTGGGCTCCTTGCTTTTCCCACTTTCTTTAAATGAAACATTCAGGCATTTGCCCTTGAACCCACAGTGACCCACACTCTATTCTCTTACATCTGCTGCTAGTTGTCTCTCTGCGCTTGACTCTTCATTCCTACCAGGGATGTGACCAGGGATGGAGGACTGCCCTCCTGATCCACTGTGCCCTCCCTGCCCAGCATTTCAAAGTATAAAACTGGCCAGGCACGGTGGCTAATGCCTGTAATCCCAGCACTTTGGGAGGTCGAGGCGGGTAGATCACTTGAGGTCAGGAGTTCAAGACCAGCCTGGCCAACATGGTGAAACCCTGTCTCTACTAAAAATACAAAATTAGCTAGGCATGGTGGCATGTGCCTATAATCCCAGTTACTCAGGAGGCTGAAGCAGAAGAATCCCTTGAACCCAGAAGGTGGAGGCTGTAGTGAGCTGAGACTGCACCACTGCACTCCAGCCTGGGCGACAGAGCAAGACTCATGTAAAAAAAAAAATCTTTGAACTCATCTCCATTGTAATGGTGTACTGAATTTGCGCCTTCCATTGAAGAATAACAGGTTGCCCCAGGCAGGTTTTCCCTGGTATGCCGGGGAGAGCACAAAGTCAGGCTCCCAGTGGCAAAGCAGTAGTCAGACAGGTGTAAACTGAACACGGGTGAGACAAGAGCTGCAGAAATGCCTGCCTATATAAACAAGTTTCCCACATGAGGGACCCCTGCCAGGTATACCAGAAGCATCTCGTGAGAAGCACACTGTACCCATGTCCAGCTCCCCTGACTTTTCCATTAGGACAGGGCTGCCAGCCACTCTGGTACTGGCACCTCGGTTTAGCTAGGGGCTCTCCAGTTTTATTCCTGCAATAGCCCCAACAGTGAGTTATAAGGCTCCTTGGCACCTAGAAAGAGCTCAGTAAATATTGACTCTGGGTGACGAATGGGTGACTCCTGACCCTGGCCTTTAATGGTATGTCTGATTCTTTCTGCTGAGAGTTGGGGGTTCTGAAATCTTCCAACTGTTGCTGTGGGCTGGGTAAAGGTGCAAACCCCTGACACAGGAGGGAGCTATCTGCTGCTTAGCTGAAGCTGAGGGAAGACTGGGCATCTCTAAGAGGCTTCCTATGCTAGAGGCTGAGATGGGTCTCATTCCTTAAAAAGGCTTTTTCCTAATTCCCCCAGTAATGAATTTAAAAACAAGGGGCTTTCACAATGCCACAAAGGAATCAAGTCTATGTACGATCTGAACAAGAGCCACTAGACCCAGACAACCAGAGAAAAACTGGCCGGGCGTGGTGGCTCATGCCTGTAATCCCAGCACTTTGGGAGGCTGAGGCAGGTGGATCACCTGAGCTCAGGAGTTTGAGACCAGCCTGATCAACATGGAGAAACCCCATCTCTACTAAAAAATACAAAAAATTAGCTGGGCATGGTGGTGCATGCCTGTAATCCCAGGTACTCAGGCGCCTTAGGCAGGAGAATTGCCTGAACTTGGGAGGCCGAAGTTGCAGTGAGCCAAGATCGTGCCATTGCACTCCACCCTGGGCAACAAGAGCAAAACTTTGCCTCAAAAAAAAAAGAGAAAGAGAGAGAGAAATTAGCAAGGCCAAATTGTATCAACGTCACTGAAACTGTTTACAGTGAAAGATGTCAAAGACAATTGCCTTTATGAGAGAAGAACACCCTCTCTCTGATCAGAACATCCACATTTATGGGCCTGTCCAACAGGCTTTCTTCCTGTTTCATGGCCTGGCTTCTAATTGTTCAGTTTAGAAAAAAAGAAATCATACACATACACAAGTGATACAAAATAGTGACATATGGAGAAGAGACGAACGTCCTTACTGACTTCTCATCTCTGTATTTTCCCAGAAAAATTAGGGTGGGCATGGGAAACCCTCTGAGTTTGGTATTCCATTGTTGGTGATAGATAAAAATGCAATGCACTCTGCCTTGTTTTTGAGTTCCTTGAAAGCAGGTGCTGTGTTCTCAACAGCTTTAGGTAACAACAGCATTTAATGTATTCCTGTTCACAGTGGGGGCCTAACAAATGCTAGAAATAAACCAATAAAAGAATCAACAAATAAAATGCAGCCCATTAACTCAGCTCCTTGCATTCAAATTTTCCTTGTCCCTGTCCTGACCTTGGCCCATATACCCTGCTCAGCCCCAGGAACTGCCTTGAATCTGAGAGTTCTCCAAGTCAAGTCCTTGGGCCAGCTATTGGAGCAGCAAGAGCTCCGGTGCCTTCCCTTCCACAGATGATATCAGCGTATTTAAAATAACCACAATTATTCACGTTGTTGTTACTGGCTACAGAGCCCCACTAGCACTACAGTCACTGCAAGCTGCAAGAGAATAAACATGATTTCCCAGCTACAGCTCTACAATTTCTCATCACCTGTTCTGGCAACTTCGGTGGTTGTACTTATCCAACGGAGACTTATAGCTCTTAATATATGATGTGGGTTGAGCTTCTTTGGAAAAAGTCTCTGAGATAGAAGTCAGCATACAAGAGGTTTATTAAGGAAAGCTCTTGAAAGCAGCACCTATGAAAGGGAAGAGCAGTAAGCAGGCCTGGGTAGAGGGGGAAATCAGCCTGTGAGGCAGTATCCCAGTGCTGCAGATGATCCTGCAGGATGCCATGTTCATCAGCCATTTCATGGTGTGTGTGTGAGGGGGGTGGGGGCAGGGGGGAATGGGTGTGGCCACAGGCATGGCCACGCCCTTCAACTGAGGCAACTGCAAAAAGGGCTGATGCCTGACAGCCCCCTCTGCAGGTACTGCTCCCAGCGGTTGGGGTAATAAGGCCTTTATTCCCAAAGGAGAATGTGGGAGTCTAGTGCATACGACCACCATTCTCACCCGATGAGACAGCACAATTACTAGCTGCTCTGCGACACCTTCCCAGCTCCCAGCTCCCTTCTCTAACCCCTCTAGGAGAGGTGACAACTCCCCCTGTCCCCTCATTACTCATCCCTTTATTTGCAGAGCCAGCTGTACTGCCTGACACCCAGTAGGGATGCAATAAACACTGGCTTAAGAAATGCATCACTGAACACTCAACATCAGCATAAAAATATGAATGAAACACCATGTAATTATAGAAAAACTACCCCCTGGTGTGTTCACTGTGATCGGGAAGAGGAAAACAAGCAGACATGATACGGGTACTTGAAAAGAGGAGTGGATGGAAGCCAAGACACAGGCACTCTGATCTCAACTCTGGGAGAAGCCTGCATCCCTCTAAGCTTCCGTTTCTTGATGAAAAAAAAAGGACACGTCCACACATTCTATGAAGATTAGAGAGCTCTGACATACTCAGTTGTACTAAATGATATCTTTAGTAGGGTCATTATTGACACGAATAAGAAAAGTAAATTTTGATCCCAATAAGGCAAAGAGTCCCGGGGATCAGGAGTGCCATTCCATGATTTGCTTAAGACTTCCTTCAATGAGCCCAGAGCTCAGAAGCCCTGAGATGGAAGCAGGGAGTGACCGGGGAAGGCAAGGAAATTCACCCTCTGCTCATGAATAGAAATAGAAACCAACAAGAATATCCTGTGAGTTATGAAAATGCTATGACTTAAAATCATTAAGTGTATTTCACTTTCACAGGATATGGAGCTAAGAGGAAAGGCAGGAGGGATTTTAAACACAGAAAAGGCCAGTGTTGCAATTAAAAAAAGAGAAACAAACAAGAAGTAAAAATTTCACTACTGAATTTCTTTATCATTGTACTCATCCAGTATAGAAGAATTTTTAAAATAATGTAATTTTTAAAAAGACATCTGGGAGAGGGGTATTAAAATAACAGCCCAAGATCTGTACTAACCTGTCACTTCTCTTACACATCCATGCCACAGTTAATATACCTACTGAGCTCACAATTTCCCACTAGGTACTCTCATATATCTTGAGGCCATGATAAGAGTTACAATAATAGCTATAAAGAAACCCACCGGACTAGAAAGAATGTCTTGTAAAGCCAAACACATACATCTCCTTAAAATTATAAACCACAGCGTTAATGAAAGCAAAAGTCGTGAGAACATTTAAAAAATCTCTAGAATCAATGCTCATCTCTACTACCTCACAGACTTTCTTGGCAATTAGACCATCCTTCAATAAAAAGAAAACCAACAAACACACCTGCTGACACAAGTATGTGAACGCTCCGCTATCTGCATACGAAAGATACACATTTGATATTTCTCTGCTAAAAACATCTTCTCATTTACTAAACAAATGTAAACAAATTTCTGTTTTACTCTAATATTTCTCCAATCCAAGCAGAGCGGATATTCCACCAGATCTGTAACTCCTTACCGACGCGTCTGCACGGCCTCATTCCAGGTGACCTCACCTTTTTTTTAAAGAATGAACCACTATTCTTGGCAGGCTGATACCTACAAAAATATCGGGAAAAAAACAAATGGGCTACCATTACCTTTGAACTTGTGGAACACAGCCCACAGCTCTGCAATGTCGGTGGCAAAGGTGATATCCGTGTCAAGGACGATGACTCTCTCGAGATTGGCAGGAAGAGTCTTGGTCAGGACAAGCTTCATCAGACCGTAAATCCCAGAGTAATGTTTATTGGGGATCCAGGAAACTTCAGACTAGACAGAAGAGGGCAGACAGGAAGTTGGAGAAAGAAAAATCACTATGTTAGTACTTTGCTTAATCATAATAGTGCCTAGCACACAAAAGGTATCCTATAAAAATTTGTTGAATGAATGAATGAGTTTTTTGTTTTAAGATTTATATAATTTGCGTTTTGACCTGTGAAGCTTTTTGGAGAAAAATGTATCTGAATTAAGGGAGAGGAAAAGTAATAGTTATGAAACATTACTGCAAATCCTGTATGTTGAGAGTTTAAAAAAAAACTTTTGTTATTATAGAAATCTAATAGGTCCACTGGAGAAAAAAGAGATATGCAAAAGCATTAGAGTAAAAAAACTGAATCCCACTACATATACTTTTGCAACCAGCATCTAATTGTTCCTATGTATGTATATTTCTTTAAATCATATTCCATTTATGCATCATTTGAGATTAGTAAGCAATGATATTGTTAAAGTGTATGCTTATTTATTCTTTCAAAACTGTTGAACAGTTTAGTACTGCTGCCTTTTCTCTCAGATAAACCCACAAGGAAGACCTAGTCATAATCAACCCAACACTCTTTACCTGACAGCAACAGAGGACACACATATAGGACAGAAATGAACCACCCAAGGAGCACTGAAATTGTGATCCTCACATAACGTAATGGAACAATCAATGGCTTGCAAAAGCGCAGTCATCAGAGAGGCACACACACGGGTGCCATTGTGTGTCCAAAGGCAAGGATAAAAATAAAAGCACCAGTGTCATTCATGAAAGCTCTCACATATGCACAGTCACTTATGAAGATATCATGAGCAGAGGCCCCAACCTAACTGCTGTGGGGAGTTTCCCTGTGAGCCAAAGCACACTTCTTATTTTCAAGAGAGTAACACTTCTTTTTTTTTTTTTTTTTTTGATACGGAGTTTCGCTCTTGTTACCCAGTCTGGAGTGCAATGGCACGATCTCGGCTCACTGCAACCTCCGCCTCCTGGGTTCAGGCAATTCTCCCACCTCAGCCTCCTGAGTAGCTGGGATTACAGGCACGCGCCACCATGCCCAGCTAATTTTTTGTATTTTTAGTAGAGACGGGGTTTCACCATGTTGACCAGGATGGTCTCGATCTCTTGACCTCGTGATCTACCTGCCTCAACCTCCCAAAGTGCTGGGATTACAGGCTTGAGCCACTGTGCCTGGCCTGAGAGTAACACTTCTAATAGAACCCTTTAAATGGGGAATATGGCCACCTTATCAGGATTCCAAAAAATATTCATCTCCTTTGTTCCTACAATACCATATTGAGGATATGTCCTTAAAAAAATGCATATTTAAAATAAAAAAAACACACCATAGTTTTATTCCCAAAGATGTTTATCAACATGTTACCAAAGAGTAGCCAATCAAAAAGCCCCAAAATGGAACAATTAATTCAAACATGATACTCTTTTTGTCTGATTGCATACTATGTAATTGTTTAAAACAATGTAGATTAAGATACAATTTCTAAAAACCTGCGTATGATGTTGAAAGGGGGAAAAAGCAAGCTTTAAAATTGCTTTTACTTAGAAACAACTATGTGTAATCAAATGAAACACATTCACCCAAATTTATGCAGAGAAAGAAAAAATAGCAGCAAGACATCAAATGACTAATAGTAATTGTTTGTGGATGAGAATCTCTCTCCCCCCCTCATATATATTTACACACACATACACACATTTAGGTGTATATATACACATATATGTATATTTAACTGATCTATGCTTTCCAACTTTTAAAAATGAGAAACAGCTTGTAAAAGAAAGACACAAGCAATTACATGTTTTCTTGTCAGACACATCATGATCTGGTGATGGTGGGAAACAGGTGCGCAGAAAGCTGATTTAGGAAAGTTATGAGACCCCGTGCTAACTCAGGTGACCCATTCCATCTCTGGAACCCACTCCATACAACGCTGTCATCTTCACGGTTTATTTGACAATATTGTTTAGTTACTCTGTATTCTTAGTTTTGCAATGGTCCTTGGCTCAGATAAGCAGAATTTTGACCAGGAAAAAAAACAAAAACAAAAAAAACACTGATGTACTGAACTATTACACCATGCATCAGTTTCAAGAAAAAGAATCCTTAACTGTATGTCTGAGTCCCTGTCACCTTGCACCCAAGTATCATGGAGAATGGGAAAAAGACAGGAGTTCAAATGTGGGCTCTAGCCCCACACAAAGCATTTGATCTCTCTAAGCCTCAGTTTCTTTACCTGTAAAATGGAGTGGGTTTCAGAGTTGGAATGAGTCTCCTGAGTTAGCATGGGGAAGCTGTCTCATAGCTTCCCTAAATCGGCCTCCTGTGTTCCTGTGTTCCCACCATCACCAGATCATGATGTTTGGAAAAAAGAAATGTGGTTGCTTAGTTCTTCTTTTCTCTTTTTTCATTCTTTTTGAGATGGAATCTCGCTGTGTCGCCCAGGCTGGAGTGCGATGGCGCAATCTTGGCTCACTACAACCTCTGCCTCTCAGGTTCAAGCAAGTTTACTGCCTTAGCCTCCTGAGTAGCTGGGATTACAGGCATGCACCACCATGTCCCGCTAATTTTTGAATTTTTAGTAGAGATGAAGTTTCACCATGTAGTCAGACTTGTCTTGAATTACTGACCTTGTGATCCACCTGCCTCAGTCTCCCAATGTGCTGGGATTACATGCGTGAGCCACTGTGCCTGGCTAATTTTTCTTTTAGTAGCACTTGCTCTGTGTGTGTGTGTGTGTGTGTGTGTGTGTGTGTGTGTGTGTGTGATGGAGTCTCGCTCTGATTGCCCAGGCTGGAGTGCAGTGGGGCGATCTCAGCTCACTGTAACCTCTGCCTCCCGGAGTTCAAGTGATTCTTCTGCCTCAGCCTCTAGAGTAGCTGGGACTACAGGCGCACGCCGCCACGCCTGGCTAATTTTTGTATTTTTAATAGAGATGGGATTTTACCATATTGGACAGGCTTGTCTCGAACTCCTAATCTCATGATCTGCCCGTCTTGGCCTCAAGTGCTGGGATTATGGATGTGAGCCACCATGCCCGGCCATAGCTGCTCATTTTTAAAAGGTGGATAAATAGAGATGATGACTACTTCACACAGTGGTATAAAAATTAAAAGATATTAAAGGACTCAAGGGCCTGGTACACAAAATATACACAGTAATAAGCTCCCACCCTTCTTCCTGATCCCTCTACTTTATTCCAAGTATTAGATATCAATGCCTCTTTCAGTGCTTCATGCTGAAGGCAAGGGTCTCTGTGATGGAGGAGAGCAAAAAAAACCTGTGTTGTGGAGTCAGACAGGCCTGGGTTTAGATTCTAGTATCATCAATGAATCGCCATGTCACCTTGGACAGGTTTGCTCAGCTTTTCTGCCATTTAAAAGGTCATAACTTCTTTTTTTAATTTTTTAATTTTAGATGCAGAGGGTACACACGTGTATTTGTTACATGAGTATATTGTGTAATAATGGCGGAGAATGGCCTTCTACCTTTCCTTCTTTCCTTCCTCCTATTTCCTCCTTTCTAGAAGGAAAATCCTTACACAACCAGCAGAATCATACTGTTAACACAAGGACAAATTAAATGCACTGGGTAAAATTCGATCAACAGGATCTAACCTGAATGTTGAACACTGTATCCAGCAGGTAATTTTTCACCCCCCCCCAGCTCTCCCCCTCCCTTCCTTTGGAAACCTCAGTGTCTCCTACTTCCAACTTTGTATCCACCTGTGCCTATTGTGCTCAACCTCTAAGTGAGAATATGTGATACTTGATGTTCTGCTTCTGAGTCAGTTCGCTGGGGATAACAGCCTCCAGCTCCATCCATGCTGCTACACTTACTTCATCCTATCAGGCAGGGTGTGGGTGGAAACAGCACACTCTCCTGGGGAATCTAAGGAAGCTTTATTAAAAGGACTTTTAAATCTAAATGTATGCAGAATTAGGGGCAGTAACAAGAAATGTGCAGTTACTCGAGGAGGAGAAGAGTACTCGGTGCTGTTACTACCCCAAGGCCAGAAGGGACCAGGCCAGCAGATTCTGGAATTCAGAGATAATCGCTGTATGAGTAAGGCCACCTGGCTGAAGCAGTGACATTCAGCAGAGGGACACAGCCCACCTGTGGCAATCCATAAGCCAGGAACAAGAAAACACATCTCAACCTCCCTCTCCTCCTGCCTACCAGCCTCCTGGGAGGGCAGCCCTCCAGTCAACCCAAACAGAAGCCAGGGCGAAAGTAAGATTAGAGATGCTTTACGCATCAGCCTCACGGAGCATAAAGTGAGGGTTAGGGCAAGACAGGATCTAGACAGAAAAACCCCACAGAACCAGCAGAGTCATACTGCAAACACAAGCACAAATTAAATAAACAACAAGATCAAAGCACAATGCCTTGTCTGTAATAGGTACAAAAACACGTATCTGGAACAGATGGATGGATGGATGGCATGTAGGCATAGGAAGGCAGGAGATTTGTCTACGATCCCACGGCAAGCAAGACGCAAAGCTCCAAGAGTCAGAATTTTCCAGGGGAAGGTTTGCATTCTTTCCCCAAACTACATTCTTCTTCCTTTGGAGTGAGCTTCCCGACGTGACATCACCGTAAGATCCGAGGACTCAGTGAGGAATTCCCTCCCGTGTGCTTTATCAACATCTTCCCCATGAAAGCCCTGGCCTGTGGACCTCAGCTCAGTTTCCTCTCTCCTCTAACTGTCTGGCTGAACTGAAGCTTGGCAATCATCAGTCGATGCTGCGAAGCTGTGCTATTTAATCAGACCTTTGATTAACTTATTCATCTATTTTGGTTACCATCAAAGCAGGAGAGCTGGGTGAAGACTGAACACCAGAGTGATGTCTAATTAGATTGCCCTGAGTCTCCGTTTTATTTTAACACACATGTGAGGCACTCAGATACACTGCAAAACAGGAAGACCAGGGGAATAAATTAATCTCAACATGAGTCCAGTCCTGAATGTTGCTCCAAGTCCCCAACTTA